GAACATCTCTATGCGTCATGATCTCCCTGTTCGGGCTACCCGAACAGATATGAATGAATGTGATTCTTTTCTCGTTTCCGGTCATGAATGTCTACACGCTTCATGCTGAACGTCATGAACATCTCTGTGCTTCATGATCTCCCCGTTCGAGCTGACCGAACGGCTCTGAATGAATGTGATTATTTTCTCGTTTCCAGTCATGAACGTCTCTGCGCTTCATGCTGGACGTCATGAACATCTCTGTGCTTCATGCCGAATCGTCATGAACATCTCTGTGCTTCATTGCTTCATGATCTCCTCGTTCGAGCCGACCGAACGAATTTCACTGCACAATAAGCATGGTAACACGGCCACACGGCCGAACAATATATACAAGTATGCACATACACATATGTATAACATTTTCTTTTTATTTATTTATTTTTTATTCATGACTACTGGCAGGAGTGGTAATAATAACTCCCTGGCCCAGATTTATTTCTTGAATTGTCAGAGTCCATGTACGTACTTCGCCCCGTACTGGGTATGATTTCCGTTCGGGCAATGTCCTTTGGACGCCTCGTTCAACACATTTGGGCCGATCGGGGGTGGACGGATAGGCCCACAAAAACCAATCATTTAATTTTAAATGACGGTAAACTCCTTACTAGAGCATTAGTTATTGTATAACTCGGGATATTTTAATCCCTACTAAACAAACAATCGCTCATAAATACTAATACATCATTTCATTTAATACTTTCATGGATGTACCGCCCTCACCGAACGGGTCCATGGATGCTTCGGCCGCTAATTAAGGCCGATCGGGGTAAGCCAATAGCCCTCACTACAACCAATCATTTAAGTCCAAAATGACGGAGCACTTTAATCATTGGGGCCTCGCTTGACACCATTTGACTCGGGATGTTTTAACCCCTAGATCAGAATTGGTGCTCCCGGAACGTAATAGCAATAGCCTCATTTAAAATTAAATCAGAGGGAAAGAAAGGTGGAACTTAGCTTTATGAGCTGAACATTAATTGTTTTGTTGATATTCTGGCCCATTTGAGTGCAGCCCAGCTCACCAAGTCCCCCAATTTACAATTGAAATGGCTGGCCAGTAGGAACTTCCAGAAGCCGTTCGAGCTCTTCAAGATGGCAACCCACTAAAAGAATAATTTCGAGCCTCTCGTCCGGCCGCGGGGATGCCGATTGGGGGAGCGCCGGTCGGCCGAAGGCTGGGGTCAAACCAGTTGGTGAACAATCTGAAGTTCTGCCGTTCGGGATGTTGATTTGTCTATCTGCCTGGTCGGGATTCCCTCTCAGAAGACGATTGATCAGCCCCCGTTCCTCCATGGCCGGCCGCGTGGTCTCCTCTGGATTTACCGATCGGTGTTATACCTGTTCCCGGCCGGTCTAGGAGATATTTAAGAGGTTTGGACGGTCATGCCCAAGCTACCAAACCGAGCGGCGATATTCATGTTTGAGTCTTGATGAGTTAAAGCTCTTGATCAGGGGGTATTGTTCGGCCAGTGAGAAGTGTTGTTTCATCATTTAAGTTTTGGGAAGCTAGGCAATCACTGCGTACTCCTGAGCCAGAAAACTCCAGCCATTTGACACTTTGCCTCGTTCAGGAGTTTAATGTTCGGGCCTGTAGTTGTTAATCTGCTATCATTTGTGGTAGCCCCAGCTACTGGTTCTGCCCCTTCCTGTCCGGTAGGTCTGACTTCCGTTCACAATTTTGAGCGTCGAATGCGGTCTCTTTGAATTCCCGTCATGTCCTCTCGTAATTTCCCGTTCGGTAGACGGTAGTGTTACCGTTCGAGACTCACACGCCACCCCCTCCCAAGTGGACTTTGGTCTGGGGACTGAACGGCGTCGTACTCGAGCGGCTGATCCACGAGACTAAATGGTGGACTGACCAGGGACACCGAGCGGGGTGTTCAAGGAATGTAATGGATAATTGGTCCTTCCCAGGCTGACCACCCTCCAGAAGGGACTGCCGTTCGGGAGATAATTGAAACTTCCCTCCCGGAAGCCACCTACTGCGGGGCCAGGTTGGAGGTTTCTTAGCAAGAAGGGTACGAACGTCCTAACCGTTCGGTCTATGTACTGTAGTTGGTCACCCTTTGTAGTGGCCGGGAAACGCTAGTTCTGTTGATGCGAACGGCCTCCCCTGCAGATCCAAGGAATGGTGACGTGGTGAACTGGTGGCCTCCTGCGACTGCTTTCGGGTGCAAACCTTTGGGCGTTCAGGAAGTTTTTTCGTTCGGGATCCTGCCTTTACTTTTGGATAATGATGACTGTCAAGTCATCCACTTGTGTGGTGTTGTCAGCCACGTGAGAATGATAGATATTCCTCTTATCTCAAGTTAGTGGGCATGTGGCCCCCCTTCACATCTGGATCTCCTGCTGCTTCTTCTTGAGACATGCCACCAGTTTTGCACCTGAGAGGACTGTTAACCAGGATCTGCTTCCTTCTTTCATAGGACAAGCTTCAGAGCTTCTCCTAGAATCATTTTTTTTTCTTTGCTAGAATATGTTCATCATTCTGTCAAAATCTTTGCAGCATCAAGAACACATAATCTTTTTTAACTTTTCCCACAGACGGCGCCAATGTTGATGTTTTGTCCCGTAGATCCGAAAGTCGAACATAAACTTTGGATATTAAGGACGATTAATTCGGTATAAACATGAATAAAATATATAAAAGTGTATGAACTAGCTATTTTTACATGGAAACCCGGAAAGGGAGAAAACCACGGGACTTTTTAGGCTAATGTCCAAGCCCGCTCTTTCTCATTAATCTACTCTCCTCACCATTTACATAGTACAAGCATCTTGAACTCCATTAATGGAGGTTGAACTATTCTAATCTAAGCAAGAAGAAGAAGAAGTAGGGCTCCTCGAGATAAGAGCCAAAGAAAAGCTCCCTTAATGAGGAAGGTTGGCTTCTTATTTATAGGTGGGGGAGGGGGTAAGGGTTTTTCTCCATGGGCCAATGGGCCGTGTTGGGCCGAAAAGGGCCGTGTAGGCCTAAAACGGGCCTCGCCGACTGGGCTCCATATCGGGGCAGTGTATTGGGCCTCTGAACAGTAGTAGGCCGGGGTAGTATACCTTAACATAAACAAATGCCAAAAATACCAATACTCATAACCTAGGTAGCACGGAAACTCTCGGGAAAGGGTACGTTTTCCGTTTCGGAAACTCTCGGAAACTCTTTGGAAACTCTCCAAATAAGCCTTTTTTGAGCAAAAGTTGACGTTTCCCGTTTCCCGTTTCCTCATGATTTTTGCGTTTCCGTGCAACATAGCTCATAACTCAAATCCTAAAAAAATCCCAAGAACCGTAAACTAACTCTGGCACTCTGGCATTTCGAGAATACATATTATGTTGAAGCATTTGTCCCACACCGGAAAACTATAAAACAATTAAACAATATATAAGGCTTTGAGTTACTCCTCCTATTAGGTTGACCTTTTAGGATGGAACCTCATGTCTTAACATATTATTAAAAACTACCAAACATGCATTCAATAACACTCACACAACACGAACTCTATCAACATTAAGTTGGATTGTTGTGTCTTCGCCTCTCGCCTCTCGCCTCTCGCCTCTCGCCTCTCGCCACGCTTCAAGGATTGCAATGCTTTTTTAAATCGGATTGGGAATCACATGTGTAAGTCAAAGGTTTGAAATTAGTAATCTATTTGTGTCTAATGCATGGTACCTTTTAATTTATCTAAGTTGGATTAACGGTTACACATTGACTGCCACAACGATACTTTATTACTTACTAACCAGTTCGTTACCGGCTAAAATGTAATTTGTGTTGGGGTCATCGCGTGTATAGGGGTGATAATCAAGTACTTGGATTGCTTAAGAATCGTGTAAGTTCACTTTCCGAATTGATATTTATCCCCTATACCTGAGTTATAAGAAATTTAATCTAGGATAATCCTTAAGGACACTCTAGAACTTAGGTACAAGAACTAGAGCAAAACTAGTGAGTATATGAATTGTTTTTCTTTAATTTGAGTGCCATAGTGATGAAGATGCGTTGTATATCTTGCCTCACTTCTCTGTACGAAATATAGTGTTATATCATTACTACATTTCAACTCCTAATGTATCACCCAAAAATGTTACAATATCACTTAAAAGTATTACATTAGAGTAAATGTAACACTTTTACAATTACATTTTCTCATGTTACATTTGCCATATTGTAACACTTTATAGACCCTTATGTAACGTTTATACTTCTAAAAAGTGTTACACTAGGTTAATATGTAACACTTTTATAAGTATGTTACATCTTTAAGGTTATGTTAGGTCTAAAATTGTAGTAGTGTATATCCATATTAACCGTCCTAGGCAGTTGCAACACGTTTGAGAATAACAGTGGCAGTTTTTGGGAAACTGCTGGAAACTGTCCAACTGTTATAGACCTCGGTCTAGAACCACATAGCTGGTCTACTGAACGTTATACCCCGTGTTCCACTGACGTAGACAATTTGGAATTAAACTAGTTCTTATATACAAGTGTGCACTTCACACCTACTAACTTGTATCAGATCATAGTTCTAATTCTCATTGGCACTCATATCATTTCCCATTACACAAAAATGCCGGTAACGCTAAAATCACCAACAATTTGAACATTTTATAACATTAATTTACTACCATTTATTACTTACACATTGAAGTGGAGGTGTGTGATTGGTTGATATTTAGGTACAATAACTTAATGGTCATTTTCATTAGAGCATTTTGATAATTTCCAATTTTATACTATTTCTACCCCTAAAAACTTTGTTATATTTGATTTTTAAGTCAATGATGGTAAAGCTTGGATCATAATTTTGATTAGCATAATACTTTTATGAAATTGATAAAATTGATAAGTTTTATACTTTTATAGAAGTACTAATAACAAAGAATCATAAAATTTTTACATTATGAGTAATTTTTCGTAAAAATATATAATTGGTCAAAATTGAAGTGACAAAAAAATCAAAGGTCACCAAACGGTCCACCAAAATTATTCAACCAACGGTCCAACGGCGCGGGATAGTCCAATCAAAATCACTACACGTTGTGATGGATGATTTTACTAATCAACAATATTATACTAATCCACGTACTACGTAATTACGTATAAAAAATTCACCCCAAAAGATTCGAGAAGATATACATACTGTATAATAGTATATAAATAGGCAAACGTGGAAGTAAAATATGATGATATCAACATAAGACATCCCTTGCGGCTCAAAAAGAATTTGGACCAAGAGAAACGATCAAATTGCCGGGCTTAATTAGGATGGCTCACAGACACCATTAGAGTGATTCTCTCTTCTTCTGTCAAAATCCACTCCAAACCTCTGGTTTTCTTAATCACCTGAACAAGGAAAAAGAATAACGAAACAATCAATTTTCTCAGAACAGGCGGGGCAAGGATCTTCTCCGTCCTAGCCCCTGCATTAAGATCTCCATACCCAGAATCAATGCTCCTTCAATAATGCTAAATCCATCACCATCTTGAATCGTTTTTTCTGAAAAACTTTCACCCAAAAACAAGAAATGGAGAAAGGGACAATGGTGATGCATAAGTACCAAATCGGGCGATTGCTGGGGCAGGGGACCTTCGCCAAGGTGTACCATGCCAGAAACACGAAAACCGGCGACAACGTGGCGGTGAAGATCATTGACAAAGAGAAAGTCTTGAAGGTCGGTCTGATCGATCAGATCAAGCGCGAGATCTCTGTTATGAGGCTGATCAAACACCCAAACGTCGTCCAGCTTCATGAGGTTATGGCCAGCAAGACCAAAATCTACTTCGCCATTGAATATGTCAGGGGAGGGGAGCTTTTCAACAAGGTCGCCAAGGGGCGGCTCAAGGAGGACGCCGCCCGGAGGTACTTCCAGCAGCTGATCGCGGCGGTCGATTTCTGCCACAGCCGCGGCGTCTACCACCGCGATTTGAAGCCCGAGAATCTCCTTCTGGACGAGTCTGGGAACCTCAAGGTCACGGATTTCGGGCTCAGCGCTCTGGCGGAGTCCCGGCGGCAGGACGGGCTCCTCCACACCACCTGCGGGACGCCGGCGTACGTCGCGCCGGAGGTGATCACCAAGAGAGGGTACGACGGCGAGAAGGCGGATATTTGGTCCTGTGGGGTCATCCTCTTCGTTCTCCTGGCCGGATATCTCCCGTTCCGGGATTCTAATATCATGGAGATGTACAAGAAGATCAGCAAGGGAGACTTCAAGTGTCCCCGGTGGTTCCCGCCGGAGGTCAAGAAATTGCTCTCCAGAATTCTTGATCCCAACCCTGTTTCCAGAATTCCCCTGTCCAAACTCATGCAAAATTCCTGGTTCCAGAAGGGCTTCGTTCAAATCCAACCATCCCCCGATCAAGAACTCTCTCCCCGGAGCGTTTTCGACATCATTGTGGACGAGGACCCGATCCCCGCCGGAACTTCCGCCGGAATCTCCGCCGGAAGCCCCGCCGGAAGCGCCGCCGGGTCCTCTGATTTCTTGATGAAACCGACCTGCATGAACGCATTCGACATCATATCACTGTCGCCGAGCTTCAACCTCTCGGGGCTGTTCGACGTGGACACGAACCGGAAGCCCGAGTCCCGGTTCACCACCCAGCAGACGGCGTCCACCATTGTTTCGAAGCTCGAGGAGATCGCCATGACGGAGAGTTTTAGAGTGGAGAAGAAAGACGGGACGGTGAAGCTGCAGGGGAGCAAACAGGGGAGGAAAGGGCAGCTGGCCATTGATGCGGAGATCTTCGAGGTTACGCCGTCGTTTCACGTGGTGGAGGTGAAGAAAAGCTCAGGAGATACAATGGAGTACAGGAAATTCTGTGAGCAAGATTTGAAGCCTTCTCTGAAGGACATTATATGGAAATGGGAAGGCAGTGACCAGCAGCAGTAACGGGAACATCAACTTTGGCAGAATTGAATTTCTTCTCAGAAATTACATTTAAAAATTATTTTTTGTCGAGATTAATAAGCCAGTAAATATAATTGGGTATTAATTGATGACAGACGTCTGTGTTTATTTAAGTGGAAATATGTTCAACCCAAACCTGTAGTATGTTTTAGGGATTTGCCAATAGAGAATAAAGCTCTTTTTTAGGATTTGTTCTTCATTATTGCATGCTAAAAATGTGCCTACATTGTCCACTTCTATTGATTGGATTATACTGTATTTGTCTGTAGCTGCAAATCGGTTCATTTCCAATTAGATTAGATTATGACCAGATTTAACATGTGATTGTATGCAAAAACTAAAAATGCATTTTAATTTGTTATTTAGGAAAAGTTGAAATGAGTATTTTCAGGTGAAACCTTTTGTTTAAATTAAATACTAAAAAATAAAAGATGGAACCAATTTGAGGAAGGCATAGTGTACTCCAAAGGAAATTGCAGATGCTGAACCTTGGAGGCTGAGCGAAAGAGGGATGCAGGCAACTCAGCGAATAAATTTCATAATGGAGAGTGATGAATCAAAAGAAAGGTATGTTTTTAGGATTTGCGCGAAAGTTGTCTATGGTCTTGTTCAGTGAATTTTGGATTTTCTGGTATGGATCAGTATAATACAACACGATGGAGTGAAATCAGATGGAAGGTAGAAGACTGCCTATGATACCCAGAAACGACGACTCACTTGTCCCCTTGTCCATAGAGACCTTGTGGCATACAATTGAAACGACTCCTGCTAGATAGTCGCCCCTTGTCTCTTATTTAGCATCGTGGATGAAGGGAAGAAGAGAAGCTGCAGAATAGAGCAGTCAAGGCTCGCACAGAAGAGAGCAAGCAGCAATCAACTGCTACTCAACACTCTAACCTTTCTATTAGTAAAGTTTGTAAGGCTGCTGGTGAAAATAGAAACCCTTCAGAGTTCAAGGAATTATGTAAAAGAGGACTAAAAAGGAGATAAAATGAAGAAGAAGAAGAAAGAAGGGGAAAAAGAAGAGCAATGCAAAAAAAAGAAAAGGAAAAAGAAGAAAGAAGAGGAGATGTAGTAACGTCCTAAAAGGTAATTAGGGTTTATAGGAGTGAATATTTGCTGACAGGGATACTAACGGTATAAATTGAACAGTCCTTTCATGCCATCTCATCTGTTTTATCGTGAGAATTAATGTTGTACTCAATTAACACACACAAAAATTAGTTTAGGTACTTTGTTGTATCACTTGCATGATGATGTACTCTTAATGCTAGTAGAGTAGTAGAGACAAGTTCTTTTAGAATACTTGACATTTTAGAGATAAATTAAGGTACTAATTTGACAGTTTCCTCCTTCCAGCAGTATAGAAGACTGCAATATGACAAATTCATAAATCTTTTAAATGTTTTCTTGCTTTGACGGATAGAACTCTTTGAATCAAACTATCAAAGAAATTAGAAGAAATTAATATCTCCCCCCCCCCACCAAAAAAAAGCTCAATGGTTCTAGAAGTACAGCCTGCAATATGGCAATAAAGCTTTCAGAAGCTAGATATGCTTAGACGTCATAAACCACGTGTTTTATACTAGAAGTTGACCAGACAAAACGGTGGAGGAAGTATTGATACATTGAACAAACTAGTTATAACTTGTAAGTATTATTGTTCTATGATTTCAATTCCTAGGACTCTAATTTGTCAACTAATTTGTTGACTATTTGTATGGTTACTAAAAACAAAGTAAATGTAAATACTACGTACATTATAAGCTTCAGCATGAAAATTCTACCCTGAAAGATTAAGTTAATGGAAATAAAGCATTTTGCTCATTCCTTGAGTACTTGTATGGCTACAAACAACAAAGTCAAATGTAAAAACATTATAAGCTTCAGTATGAAAATTATGGGTTTTAAAAAGAAGCTGTCTTTACTAATCCTCGAGTATTTGTATGGCTACTACAAACAAAGTAAAGTGTAAAACATTACAAGTTTCATCATGAAATTTATACATCAAAAGATTGAACTAATGGAAATATGCCATCTTTATTACTTCGATAAGTGATTATATAGTGCTAAACACAAAGTCAAATGTAAAACATTGTAAGATTCAGTAAGAAAAATATACACTAAAAGATTAAGTACATCAAAAGATGCCAACATTACTGATTCCTTGAGTACTTTTATGCGGGCGTGTGGCTAACTAAAAACAAAGTCTAATGTAAAAATATTACAAGTTTCAGTATGACATTTATAAGCTGAAAGATTATGTGAATGAAAAGAATCCATCTTTACCAACTCCTTGAGTACATAACTATATACGGCTACTAAAAAACCAAGTAAAGTGCAAAGATGTATTAAGCCTGTATGGAACTTATAAGGTGAAAGGTTAAGTAAATGGAAATATGTCATCTTTACTAATTCCTTGATTACTTGTATGACAGTATGACTACTAAAAAGGTCAAATGTAAACACATCATAAGCTTCAGTTTGAAATTTAAATGCTGAAAGGTGACATAAATGCAAAAAGAAACATCTTTACTAATTCCTTGAGTATTTCCATGGCTAACTAAAAACAAACAGTATACGAAAATAAGGAAAGAAGCATACCTTTCTCCCTTTAATCTGTATCTGAAGGCAAATGTGAAAAATTAGCAGCAGCTTCTTCAGTTACTAAGCTCTGTAAACCTGGTTTGAGTTCCCGATTATAAAACTCCTCATACTCGCCTCTATCTCCTCCCTTTTTCCTCACTTCCACAACTCTTAAAGACGGCGTCAATTCAAATATCTCAGCAGCTATTGTCAATGGTCCCTTTGCGCCCTCCTTAGACCCTTCCAAACTCACCCTAAAGTCTTTCTTCCTCACCTTGAAACTCACCACCTTTGCAATCTCTTCCAACTTATTCACAATCATGTACACAGGTGCCCCTAATATGAACCTCCCACCATCTGATCCTTCCTCGAACAGCCCGGATAGATCAAAACCGCGAGAAAATGAAATAATGTCAAACGCATTCAAACTTGTAGGTTTGGGTAAACTGCTCAACCTCCTCCTACTCTCTGTCTCAGACTCAGATTCAGATAAATCGGATAAAGAATCAATTAACTCATTTGTCTCCACTTCATCAACAACACTGCACAACTTATCATCCTCTATGTAGAACTGAACGTGCTTAAACCCTTTCTTGAACCACTTATTACTCATTATCTCTGGGATTGTCATTCTCGTTGCTGGATTAGTGTCAAGTAATCGGGTCAAGAGTCGGACCAGTTCATTAGAGAACCATCTCGGACACCTAAATTCACCCTTGTAAATCTTTTTATACATTGCCATGACGTTCTGATCATGAAATGGTAAATAACCTGCTAAAAGAACAAACAAAATTACCCCACAAGACCATATATCTACCTTCGCTGCGTCGTACCCTTTTCTGGCCAGAAGCTCGGGAGCCACGTAAGCCGGTGTGCCGCAAAACGTGTGACACAGCCCATCCTGCTTGATCTGCTCCGAAATGGTGCTCAACCCGAAATCCGAAACCTTCACATTGCCATCCTCGTCAATCAGAATGTTTTCCGGCTTCAAATCGCGGTGGTAGACGCCACGGGCGTGGCAAAATGCGACAGCTGAGATCAGCTGCTGGAAATATTTGCGAGCAGAGTCTTCTTTGAGCCTGCCCTTGGCGACCTTGTTGAAGAGCTCGCCGCCCTTGACGAATTCCATGACAAAGAAAATCTTGGTCTTGGTGGCCATAACCTCGTAGAGCTGGACAATGTTGGGGTGGCGGACCCGCCGGAGAATCGAGATCTCCCGCTTGATGTGGGAAATGAGGCCGACTTTGAGGATCTTCTCCTTGTCAATCACCTTTATCGCTACGGTCTCGTCCGTTTTGGCGTTCCTGGCCTGGTACACCTTCGCGAAGCTCCCATGGCCGAGGAGTTTTCCGACCTCATACCGACCCAGAAGAAGCCCTCCCAGCAGATCTTTCTTGCTAAGGCATTTCGCCATCGCCGGCTTCGGGGCCACGCTGGTGTCGGCCATGGCCGGTGGGGGTCCGCTTCAAGATTCAATTTTTTCGTTTCAGAATGATGAGAGCGGCATTCCCCCCTCCGTTCTTGGAAACTTCAGACGGTTTTTGGGAACCTTGCGTTGCAGGATTTGGGCGAAGATTGTTTCCGCCGTCTGAAGCCGCTACGTTAGGTGTCCGATTGCGCACCCTTCATCAATTCAAATGTTTTTAAATTAATAAACGACCAAAAAAGTGTTGATTAATACGGAGTTCTACGTAAAAATTTTGTACTCACATGGTCACATGATTAGACCTGCGAAGCAAAATGTCCCGTAAAAACTCATGTTTCACATGATTTTTAAATGATTTTCGATAAAGCGTTTACTAAAAAAATTACATTTTTTATAAAAATAATGTTAGTAATATTGAAAAATACTTTTTTTTGCAAGGGAAAATACATTATTTTTTTATATAATAATAAAAGTGAAAAACAGTTTAAAGCAATATTCTATCTTCTTTCAGGGAAATAATTAATTTAAATAGTTACTAAAAACATTAATTTTAGCTTTATAAGCAACAAGGTGAAGTACTTTCACAAACCGTCCCTAAATTTATCAAGTATAGTAGCTAAAAATGGGCATTGTTTTGTTTTAAAAACACAACATTTTCCTCACGTCAACACGTGTTTTACTAAACAGGAAGTAGGACAAGTAAAAACAAGGTGACATCGCCAAATAAGACAAGATAATAACAAAGGCATTTCAGCATGCTTGATTCCATATGAAAGGAAGTCCTTCATTCATAATGATGATGAAGGATGAACACCTCTCCAAAAAGCTGGGTAATGGACAGAGCATTCTTGAAGTTGCTTGATAGTATTGTCTTCTTCGTCCGCATCCATTTGGTGGAGTCTGATTTCGCTTCGGCTCTTGAGCCATCTTTGCCGATTCAATCAATTCTGAGCTGCTCTATTGGGCGAAGACTTAAAAGTTGGAGTCTTCTTGTTTTCAACAATTCAACTGATTGCATTGATTTTTGAGTGTTTATATTTTTACTTTTAATTACTTTTTATGGTGTGTTGTTGTGGTAATTGCACATTTAAGGTGCAATCATTTTATTTTTCTAGTTTGTTGTAATTTAGTAAATTTAGAATCATCTTGAGCAAGAAACAATCAAGAATCAACAAAGGATCATGGAAGGGATCTTACAAGATCAAAGGAAAGTGCAAGGGAACAAGAAATCATGCAAGAAATGTGATTTGGTGACTTACCCGGTCGGGTATAGCCTTTACCCGGTCGGGTATGAAGTGACCCGGACAAAAAGACGTGCAGAAAACACAAAATCGTGGGCAAAATATTTGATTTTGACAAATACCCGGTCGGGTATCTCAAATACCCGGCCGGGTATCCGGTGCAGCATCTTCAAAACACCTATAAATAGCCCTATTTTCCTTCACTTTTAAGAATCCCTTCTTCCATACTCTTAAGCTCAGTTTAGAATAGTTATTTCTTATATTTTTATAGCATGTTTAGTCTCCAAATGAGGAGCTAAACTTCCACTTCTTGGTTTTGCTCTTGAAGCTTGATTGATTATTAAAGTTGTGAGTTATTTTCTTACTTTCTCCTCTTGATTATTAATTCTTCCCTTAATCTCATTCTATATCATTGTTGGAGGGTGGCTAAGTGACGATTAGTTAACGTTCCGACATTGATTATTACTAGAAACGTTCAACGAACCGATGGTTAAACGTTGAAGGTTTCATAAGTAAGTAACTTCAGTTTATTAATGCACGGTCGTGGTTAATAAACTTAAGAGGGATTAATTTTGTTGGTTAAACCGAAACCGTTGTGTTGAGGTTATCAATCTCAATTGATTTCATCAAGGAGTTAAAGAGGTTAAATGCTACTATTAAATCGGTATACGGCGTTGTTCTATACTTGATTAATAGTAAGGGTTATTAATGAACGGTCGTTGTTAATAACTACCCTCGATGAATTGGATATACTCCTCGATTGAGTATTCGAGAGGGGATAAGTTATAGATATAACAATGATCGACTAAAATATATCAACAAGTGGAAAGTAGCAAGACCAAGTCCCTTTTATTCTTGAATTTAATTCCATATAAATCGTTCATCTTCGTGTTTAATTTAATTAAATCACTCAACAATCAAACCCCCCCCCCCCCCTTTATTTACTATTTATATAAAAAGAAAGTTATTTCTTTCCCTGTGGATACGAACTCTACTTCACCTATACTACGTATAAGTGTTAGTATCGATTTATTTTGAGTGCACTCACGACAAAGTGCACGTCATCAACCCTGGGACTAATTTGTAAGAATGTTGGACGAAATGGCAAAACAAAATTTAAACATTGGATATAGGGTATGCCTATGCCGCGGCGTACCGGCGTAGGCGACTTGGTCTATGTGCTCATGGCCGACTGGCCTACACGATTGGAAATTGTAATCCCTTGAGTAAGCGAGAATCATCTTGTAACCCTTGTTGACTGTTCTATGTGCTCATGGCAGACTGGACTGGTAGTAGCCGCAGACGACAGAAATGAGATATGAAGAAGAACGAGGAAGGGAAACGACGGGAATAGAAATGGAATTTGATCGACAAGGAACCGAGGAAGAGAGACGGAGCACTAACGGAGGCTAACGTAGTAAATGGATTCAACTAAATTAGTTAATATCAGAGGGGTGCAAGAGCAAATTATTTAAGAGTATACGAAGATTTAATATCACGTCTGATGTGTAAATTTAACACATATGGCAAGCCGTTACTGGACCACTTGGACTAGGTACCGTACCCTCAACAATATCAAAGGTACCGTAGCAGGCACCATACAAAAATGCATCGTATCGCTCTAAAAGTGAAATTTTCACATTTTAAACATTAAGACCCTATTCATTTTAACCAGCCCCTATATTTGTTTTATACTCCGTACTATATACTACGTACACCTTCGTCCCATAAAACTTGGCCAACTTTTCTTTCTTAGGCTATTTCGAAAATTTTTATCATTTTTATTCAAAGTAATTAATATGTGGTTAAATTTATATCTCTCTCCTCTACACAAATTTTAACTATACAGTTTTTATTTTACTCGTATTATTATACGTGCAAATCAATTTTGGACAAGTTTTATGAGACAGGAGTATATATATATATATCCCTATTTGTGACTTTTGATTTACTCCGTACTCCGTATTATACTGATATGTAAACACTTCGATATTTTTGCCAGAATATCAAATGCTTTTTTGTCCCCATATGTGGTCATTGTGGTACCAAACAAACACTGATTAGGCAGGTAGGCCTTATACCCATGGTTTCATTTCTGTGGAAGGCATACACGAGAAATGGTAATAAAAGTACTTCGCAAGTTCGCATCACTTTCCATATGTTTTTTCATCCAACAACCAAAAGTTCTAGTTTTGTTTTATGATATTTGTTTAATAATAAAGCTATTTATTATTCCGTATTTATTACTATCTCTGTTCTACTAACATTGGGACAAGAGGGAGTGACACGATTGTTTTTTTAACAAGTGACATGATTGTTAAAAAAAGTGAATTTATGTTGTTGATATTGAATTGATAAAGTAAATATAAAGTAAAAATGATTTAGATCCACACAAACTTTATCAAATTTTGTAAAAGACCATCTTATTGAGATTTCCGGAAAAGCTCAAACTATAACTATAAATGACAAAAACTACACACACATACACATATGTATTACATTAGAAAAGTAGCTAAATTATACTTTCTCCGTCCCTCTTATATTGGGACGGAAGAGGGTGACACGATTATTAAGAAAAGTGGGTTTGTGTGGTTGATATTACTTGATAAAGTAAGAATAAAGTAATAATGATTTAGAGTCACACAAATTTTAGCAAATATGGTATGAGACAATTTTAGTCGGATTTCGGAAAAAGGTAAAACGGGACAATATAAGGGGGACGGAGGGAGTATTTTAAATCCAAATACAATAAAAATTAGATATATACCATAATCGGATGACATTTTGAAAAAAAAAATGTTTAAACTGTAGTCTTTATTGGGACCTTAAGGATGTAGTATAAGATTTTTAAAAAATTTATTGGAAACAATTGCATGATCGCATAAACGTTACCTTTTGAAAAATTGAAATATGACTACTTTTCTATATGTGACTATTATTTACTATGGTATTAGATTAATTTGAAACTTCTCCCATCTTAATCCCTACGCGCCTAATTTTAAAGCACATGTGGAATGAGCATTACATGTTGATTTGATTATGATGTTTTGTATCATTTTATTTTAACTCGTAATCTAATGGTCATTGCACATGTGAAACTCATTACTTTGATATCTATATAATATAATAAAGCAAACTCCTAGAGAAACTTATAGAGGAATTGTTGACATGTGGCAAAACTCATTGTAAGAAACTTGGACATGTGGCAAAATCAATGAAAGAACACTGACGTGTCATGTGCAAGAAAAATTTAACATTTGTCGACATCATAGGGATTTTCATAGCAATTAATTAAAGAACATCAAATTAATAGCACCATTAATAAATAAACATCCCACACTCCCACATAATAATATCAACCTATTCAGTTTCCAATGATCGGCCAACGTTTATTTATCACCACATTTACCTTCGGTAGCACGAAAATCGGTTGATTTGGCTGATTCTGCTGAAATTTATGAAGTTCTGGCTGAAGTGACTGCATTGGCGGATCTGTTGATTTAAGAAAAAAATATTTTTAAAATATATATTATTAATAAAATAAAAAAAAAATACATGTAAAAATAGCTAAAATGATCATCTACAGTAACTTCAACCAATACAGCCAGAAAAGTAACTCTAACCTTACTTTTCTACTTATCACACAATTCAGCGCGCGAAAGCAAAAGTTACATGTTTGGTGAACAAGTTGGCTGATAAGCCGCAAAAACAGTGTTGTCAAACGGCCTCCTAGATTTCAAAATTAATTCAATCTCTAGCCTGATCGCTGTCAATTTGACATTTTTAGTCTCTTCATTATGATATTGCCACTATAAGTGAAAAACACAAAAATGACATGATGATAATAGTTAGAGGATAAAAACTATAACTTTTATTAAAGTCTAATGATTAAATACAAAATTTCAGAGACAAATACTAAAAATGTATTTCGCATAATAGTCAAGTGACTAAAAATAGGTAATTCAAAGCGAAGTACTAAAAGTATGTTTGACATAATGATCAGATGACTAAAAGTAGCAAAAACGCTAAAATACACATATCAAAATAGTTGAGCTACCAAAACGGATCAATCCAAATTTAAATAAATCATATCTGACCACACTTAAATAGAGCAAATCATATTAGAAAAATTCGTTCCAAAACAACCCATCATCCAATTTTAGAGCAAGAAATACAACATTTCTAATTATTTATCAGTATTAAGCAACCAAACAAAATAAAAAAATATACAACCACAAGGCCATACATACCCATATGCTACGTTCGTTCTTCCATGAATGCCGCATAGATAATCTTCTCAATGATTTTTATTTTTAACTAAAGAATTGATCCCATCTAATTTATATATATATAAAATCTATACTCTCATTTAATAAGGAGGAATTTTGCATTACATTCCATTTTGAGTGATGTTGGACTTTACACCCTATTTTCAAAACCATTAATATATACACCTCAATTCATCGTAAAATCATTTCACTTTTCACCCCACACATTCACAAGTTTTGGGCTAATGGAGTGCACACAATAGTAATTTAAAAGTGAGATATAATGCATGCCCAACAATATTGTCAAAAACATGGGGTGCAAAGTCATATAGTACCTTTAATTATTTTTCTATGAACACTACTATACTAATAAAATAATAATTTTAGCACACATGATTTGACCAATTTAGTATACGCTAGAAATAGTTTACTATCACATTAAGTCATATACTCAGCCATCACATAACTTATACGAATACAAAATTTTCACTAACAACGTCTCCTTATGCAAAAAAAAAATCTAAAAAAGACTTGCTCAATAAATATTTTTTTAATTCAAATGAGAAAATAGACTTTATGTTAAGACCCGAGGTTTCATCCTAAAAGGTCAACCTGATAGAAGGAGTACCACATGTCTTAATATAGCACTTCATTGATTCAAACTTTTCCGGTGTAGGACTCTAACACCCCTCCTCACGACCAAACACTTCGTATGGATCGTGTCATCATTCATTTTTTCGTCGGTTCGTCATTATCTTTTTTTATAATCATGTCGTCATTTTTCATAAGGGGGCCCACACCATGGATCGATTTGTCTCTAATACCATGTTAAGACCCGGGGTTCCATCCTAAAAGGTCAACCTGATAGGAGGAGTAAACCAGATCTTAATATAGCACTTAATTCCTTCACACGTTTCCGGTGTGGGAATTTAACACCCCTCATCACGACCAGACACTTCGTCTGGATCGTGTCATCATTCATTTTTTCATCGATTCGTCATTGTCATTTTTTTTATAGTCACGTCATCATATTTCATAAGGGGGTCCATGCCATGGATCGGTTTGGCTCTGATACCATGTTAAGACTCGGGGTTCCATCCTAAAAGGTCAACTTGACAGGAGAAGTAGCACATGTCTTAATATAGCACTTCATTGTTTCAAACTTTTCCGGTGTGGGACTCTAACACTTTGACGTTAGTAATTTTAACCGGTTACATAACTCATCATACCATATCAAAAAAATTAAGTTGAGTTAAAAAGAGAAAACAAGTCTTCAACCATACTAACTTTCACAAAATAAGAAATGAATCACAAATTCACATATTTAAAGTTAATCTAGTGATATATAGAGTGACCATATTTTTCACACCAAATAAAAAATCATCCTTCAAAATCGATCTAGAAAAGTGATATTTCATTTACACGTAAAATTAACACCAACATGCATACAAAATGGATCAGAAAAAGTGGCGATTTCACATACGTTAATTTTTACCGATTTCTATCATACATAAATGTAAATAAAATTACCGTGCATCGCACGGGTACACACACTAGTGTGTAATAAGCAATACATTTAACAAGATATGCATTTGAGAGTACACTTTATACAACGTAGAAGCACTTTAAAAAAAAAAACTTGTCCCGACACACACACACACATTGCACACACACTACACACACTGCACACATACATACACACAATGCACACACACTGCACACACACACTGCACACACACTGCTCCCACACACACTGCACATACACACACTACGCACACACACACATTGCACATATACACACTACGCGCACACACACAAATAAACAAACATAATTATGAATGTTGATTACAATTTAAAGTTATTGTTACTTAAGCAACCAAACATAGTAATATAATAGAGATTTCATTCCATTATTTTACAATTTGTATTGCATGACACACTTCATTCCATATTTCCATTCCATTGGATTACGAGCCCGTTTGGTAGCACCAAAATCGGCTGTTTTGGCTGATTCTGCTGAAATTTATGATATTCTGGCTGGAGTGGCTGTTTTGGCTGATTCTGCTGATTTAAGAAAAAAATATTTTAAAAATATATTTTATTAATAAATTAAAGAAAAAATTATATGTAAAAATAGCTAAAATGGTCCTCTACAGTAACTTCAGCCAATACAGCCAGAAAAGTAACTCCAACCTTACTTTTTCGGCTTATTACACAATTCAGCGCGCGAAAGTAAAAGTTACGTGTTTGGTGAAAAAGCTGGCTGATAAGCCTGATAAGCCGAAAACAGAGTTCTCCAAACGGGCTCTACATCATAACAAACATAATAACCTCCAAGCGCCTAATTTAAAATAGATAAGCAAATGATTGATTGATGGAGCTTTACTTAGAGATTAAATTACTAAAACAGGACTTGGTCAAGCACCATGTATAATTACAAAACATTAAAAATGAATATCAGTATCACTACGAAAATACCAACCCAGTGGACACTAAAAGACATCTATTAAATTACTTTTTATTTTAATGGAATATAGTTATAATTTTTCGTGATTGTAATGGAACATAAATCTATACTCTCTACCCCCAACAAGAATAATTGACAAAACCCCAAAACGGTAGTATACACAGAATTGCCACATAATGCGGGCCGTCACGAGCGTAAATCACTGGGCCCGCCATACATATAACGAATTGTATATATATAATAATAATAATGTGCGCGGCGGCGATCGACGATTGGCCATCGATTTACGTTTACTTCCTCTTTCACAATTTGCACGAAAGCTTCTTCTGCCTTTAATGTTGGTCTTCTATAAAATGGCGACTGTTACCAAAACTCCAGAAAGTCAAATAACCGGAGAGACTAACCTGAAAAAATCCTGTTCTGTCTGTAACTGATCTGGAATTTTGAATTCTCAGATCTCAATCGAATTAGATGGCCGATGCTGATCAGGAATCGAGCGCCGGCGGTCCGGAAACAATCATTGTGATACGGAGATCGGAAGGGAATGGAGAGAGTTCTATGTCCGCCGCCGCCGCCGGAGAAGAGACGAAGGTGGAGGAAGAGAGATTCTCGTGCAGTATTGATGTGGACTGTGGCGATGAAGTCGGCAAAAAGGCGTGTTGCAGAATATGCCAGTTGAGTGAAAGAGAGGAAGAGTCGATGAAGACGAAGAAGAATGTGATGGATTTGATTGAGCTGGGCTGTGGCTGTAAAGGGGATCTCCGTTTCGCCCATTTGCGGTGTGCTGAGGCATGGTTTAAGCTCAGAGGAAACCGGTATTACTTTTCGTTCCAAAATCACTCATATTTCCGCCAAGATACTCTGATACTCTGTATATACGGAGTATATAAATTCCACTTCTATTTTCACACCCTATAGTTCTTTTTTTGGAGCAAAATTAACTATATTATAGAGAGTATGTTTCCATTTTGGAAACTCTAAGTAAACACTTTAGAAATTCTTCAAACTAGTGTTTTCGAATAAAATTGTTGTTTCCTATTTTTTTCTTGATTTTCTGGTTTCCGTGCAAAATAGCGTCACTTTATACTTCCCTCTCAAATTGTGTCGCCATTTCTTTATGCAATTGTTACCATATGGTAGTACTTTTCCGACTCAAATTGTTTTGCAAAAAATATTACAGGTTTAAATTGTATAAGATAATTGATTATTTTTAAGTTACGGATTGTGACAAAAATTTATATACTCCCTCCGTCCCAGGGAGAAGTTCCCACTTTCCCTTTTTGGTAGTCCCAACAAAAAGTTCCTATTTCCCTAAATGGAAAGTTATCCTACATCAAAACAGTGTCAAACAGTGCAAAACAGTGTCGAAACAGTGCCAAACAGTGTCGAAACAGTGCCAATCAGTAAAATTTACCCCTCAGTAACTTTATTTCCTAAATATGTGTGAAAGTCAACCCGGGAACTTCTCCCTTGGACGGAGGGAGTATTATATTCAGAGCTAGGCTAGAAAACAAATCCTTAAATTGAATATAAATCGATATCCAAAATAAAGAATAACATCAAATTGTGTTCATCAATTAAACTAGCATTGAAGAGCATTTAAGACACACCAAGTGGGTATTTTAGAACAACCATTTTCAATTATTTAGTTCAATTATTTAGGATGTTTTTTACTTCAATTATTTTAGTCAAGACTAAATCAAATCAGATCAAATCAAATTTCTACTCGATTATAAAGAGACCCGACATCTACCCGATTAAAATAGAGCAGATTAGAAAATTTCAATCCAAGTGAAAACACTTTTACTATCAATTTCAACTAAAAATACATTTATTAATTTATGGTTGAAACTTTCACTTGAAAATGTCTATATTCTGCAAGTATATACGGAGTATCTTCTTCTGGTAAAACTTGATCAAAGACTCAAACTTAAAGATTAATAAAGTAACAATTATATTATTAATATTTATGCAGATTAGAAAAGAATATTTTAACCACATATTTTCTTAATTTAAATGAAACTGTCAAAGCTCAATAAAAAAACCAAGTGTTTGTTTGTTTTTGTTGATTTAAAAAAGTTATTGTATTCCAGATTTTGCGAGATATGTGGGGAAATTGCGAAAAACGTAACTCGCGTGGGGAACGCGAATTTCATGGAAGAGTGGAGCGACGGAAGAAATCCTGGAGACGGTGGAAGGCCCGGTGAGCGGTCAAGAGATTGCCGGGAACGGCAGTCGTTCTGTAACTTCTTGATGGGCTGTCTGGTTTTAGCGTTTGTTCTTCCTTGGTTTTTCCGTTTAAATTTCTGAAGGCAAGGTTTCTTTTTTTAAATTATGTTTTGGGGCTATACTCTCAATAATTGTTTCCTAAATGAGTGATTCAATTTTTGTGTCTATATGTTTGTCTAAAAAACCAGAACTTTACTGCAATCTGATTAGGAGTGCGAACCCAAATCCAGAAAAAATAGTTGATTGATTCTAAATCCGTGTAGGCATATATATCTATTAAATTAAATATCATAGATTCATAGTCAATCGTTTTCAATTTTTTTTTGGCTGTATATGGAATATCGAATTTAACATGAAGGTGTTGTCCAAATTAGGAATACACGGTAGTTTTGGAAATCCAAATAAATTTATTTAGGTATGGTCTTATGGAGTTATAATCTATACTAATATAAAAAGGGAAACCAAAACAATAAGTTATTATTGCCTAAAGGAAAGTTCCCGAAATAGGACTAAAACAGTTTGATAATTCCAAAATAGGACTGACATGTTTTTATTCTCAAAATAGGAGTAATTACTGTCAAGTTTGGAAAATACTGTCATGTTTGAAGTCTGGTACTGCCAAAACAAGACAGTAATTAGTCCTATTTTGAGAATAAAAACATGTCAGTCCTATTTTGGAATTTTCAAACCTTTTTAGTCCTATTTCGGGTAATAACTCTTGCCTAAAAGTTACGATTGTTCAATAACTTCCAGCTTTGGTAACCGTCGGACATTATTTAACCATCACGTAGTTTCCAAAGTCATTTATTTAACTGCTTTCAATCTATAAAACAATTATCCACACTTCTTCTTTTAGAGGACCGCACTACTATATTGTAATTACTTTCATTGGTTTACTCAAATTCAAATTGTTTTGGTCTTTTGGATACTTTGACAATCACGTTCTCATTGGTTTGACAATGAGATGAATAATTCCAATGTACAAGTAGATGGTGTTTGAAGCTTTGGTTGTCCATGAGCAATAATAAAAGTACCTTGCAAAAAAAGATATCAAAGACAATTTGGGATAGATGTATCTTCATAAATTTGAAGGTACTCACTTGATGTTCATGGCATGTCGAAAATAAGATTTCTTGAAATCTCATGCACGATAGGGTCTTATAATACATCTGATGCATAGTAGTAGATAGTGCAAAGTACAAATTATTCACTGATATGTTCTTTATTTGTCTTATAATTAGTATTTTTTCCGTTCCAAATTGAGCTGCAATATAGTTTTTTTTTTTTTTTTTGCGAAATTGAGTTCCAAATAGTATTTTATTCACTTTATTAGGATAAACAATTAATTAAACTTTAATTTAGATTTTGCAACTTTATACATATTTTTAATGTAGTTTTAGAATATGTAAATTTTAATTATTAAAATTGAATGAATTATTGATAGAGAAAATTTAACTTTAACATTGCAAGTTGATAAAAAAATTGATTTTGCAAAACAGTTTGAGACAGAGGTAGTATTACAATGATAATACTATGTAGTAAAATACCTTTACATATAATAATATGGAATTAATTAGTAAATATATTTTACAAATTAAGAATATATCTTAAAAATCTAAATTTTAAATGACCAGTCTCACGAATAAACATCATATCTCAAAAAACATATAAAAAGGGAAACCAAAACAATAAGTTATTATTGCCTAAAGGAAAGTTCCCGAAATAGGACTAAAACAGTTTGATAATTCCAAAATAGGACTGACATGTTTTTATTCTCAAAATAGGAGTAATTACTGTCAAGTTTGGAAAATACTGTCATGTTTGAAGTCTGGTACTGCCAAAACAAGACAGTAATTAGTCCTATTTTGAGAATAAAAACATGTCAGTCCTATTTTGGAATTTTCAAACCTTTTTAGTCCTATTTCGGGTAATAACTCTTGCCTAAAAGTTACGATTGTTCAATAACTTCCAGCTTTGGTAACCGTCGGACATTATTTAACCATCACGTAGTTTCCAAAGTCATTTATTTAACTGCTTTCAATCTATAAAACAATTATCCACACTTCTTCTTTTAGAGGACCGCACTACTATATTGTAATTACTTTCATTGGTTTACTCAAATTCAAATTGTTTTGGTCTTTTGGATACTTTGACAATCACGTTCTCATTGGTTTGACAATGAGATGAATAATTCCAATGTACAAGTAGATGGTGTTTGAAGCTTTGGTTGTCCATGAGCAATAATAAAAGTACCTTGCAAAAAAAGATATCAAAGACAATTTGGGATAGATGTATCTTCATAAATTTGAAGGTACTCACTTGATGTTCATGGCATGTCGAAAATAAGATTTCTTGAAATCTCATGCACGATAGGGTCTTATAATACATCTGATGCATAGTAGTAGATAGTGCAAAGTACAAATTATTCACTGATATGTTCTTTATTTGTCTTATAATTAGTATTTTTTCCGTTCCAAATTGAGCTGCAATATAGTTTTTTTTTTTTTTTGCGAAATTGAGTTCCAAATAGTATTTTATTCACTTTATTAGGATAAACAATTAATTAAACTTTAATTTAGATTTTGCAACTTTATACATATTTTTAATGTAGTTTTAGAATATGTAAATTTTAATTATTAAAATTGAATGAATTATTGATAGAGAAAATTTAACTTTAACATTGCAAGTTGATAAAAAAATTGATTTTGCAAAACAGTTTGAGACAGAGGTAGTATTACAATGATAATACTATGTAGTAAAATACCTTTACATATAATAATATGGAATTAATTAGTAAATATATTTTACAAATTAAGAATATATCTTAAAAATCTAAATTTTAAATGACCAGTCTCACGAATAAACATCATATCTCAAAAAACACATAGATGTGAATTGTAGCATATCAAACATGTAATGAATCAAAAATAACTATTAAAATTATACTCATATATATTTTGAGTGACCTACTAAGAAATGTAGCATATAGTTTTAGTTACCCCATTGATTTCAAGGTGGCACTATCCGGGGCTATGAAACATACACACACTTCATCCGTCTCACAAAACTTGATCAAATTCATTTTTTAGTTGTCCCAAAAAGGTTTATCATTTTCATGTAAAATACTACCTCCATAATAGTTATATCTTCCTATTTTAAAGTAGGTGAGATTAAAAATAGTGAAAGAAGATATAAATTATTGAGGGTACAATGAGAAGATAATGAAATAGTGTGCTGGAATGAAGGATGGATAAAAAACTAGTTGTAATAGTGCATTATTTTTAAAATTATTAAGAGTATGATGGAAGGATTGAGAAATGGGAAGATATGAATGACGATAAAAGAGAAAGTGGGAAGATATGAATATTGTGGAGGGAGTAATATATTTGTATTTGAAGTAGTCTTTCGATCTTTTGTATAAATCTCAATCATACAATATTTATTCGATATACACGTCAATCAAATTTGGTCAAGTTCAGTGGAATGGAGTGGGTATTACTGTCCCGTGCATCGCACAGGTATATACTAGTAGTTGAGGAAATAACGAAACCACGGAAACTTTGAGCCTGACATACCAAAATAGGGGAGATCAATTTAGAGTATGAAAAAAACGGGATTCAGAACACCTTATTCCGAGCGGATTTTGGTGTGCACGAAAATAAAATACTCCGTAAAAAAGATGCTATTCGGAATAGCCCTTTCCGATGGAGTAAACTAAATAAGATAGCTCTCAATAGACTTTCCGATTGAATCAATAAATAAAGAAACAATTACATATTTATAATTAAAATAAAAATTATTTATAAAAATGTGACTAATGACTAGAGTTGTAATAAAATCATAGTAACCTAAATTTAATTTTAAACTTAAGGTACCATAATACTACATTGTAGTAACTATTAGTCTGTGACAGACAAAATTTCTGTGAAGGACAGACATGTGTACACATTTTGTGTACCTCTAGCAAAACTCGTGCCAATTTGTGCAATTGATCCAGTATTGGGGATACTAGACCGAGTATGAGAGGAAATTTCCAAGAAATTGTGAAAAATAGGCATACTCGACCGAGTATTGCCAATACTCGACCAAGTATGACAAGATTTATATCAAATATTCAGCCACGTTTTTTTGTTCGTAGATTTGATTTTGACCAGCGTATCTGACCAGTACTCGACCGAGCATTGAACAAATATCAAAATCTTCATTTGATCTTCTCCCTTTTGCACATTCTTTGGTCTTTAGGATCCATCCTTTGATCTTGGGATGATTTTGACCTGTCCTAAGCTCAGAATAATCATAATCTAAATAAATTACAAATAATTAATGAAAATAAAATATTACACCAAAAGTGTGTAATTTTCACAACTAGAACTAATAAAACTAATTAAAAATACAAACATACATAATAAGAAATTCACCTATCATTGGTTTTTGCTGGAAACCTGGAGAGATGTTTGACCAATGACGGTTCTCTAGGAAATGTGTCACGAACCAAATGACATGGGCAATCAATTAGTTAAAAGCTACATACTTCTTGTGTGCGGTGGTGTAGAGATGTGGTGGGAACTTAGCAAATTGTTCTAATGGCTCGAAATTTACTTCTTTCAAGATTTGGGGTGAATCATTGAGAGCCCAGAATCAGTCCACAACACAAAAATCAATAATGACCCAAAGTTCCACAAGAACAAAAGTAACTTAGGAGTGTTTGTAACTGCTTCCTTAAATAAACACTTTTGGAGTGATTTAGAAAAAGTAATTAGTAGTAAAAGTTGATAGTGTTTGAGAAAAAAATTAATTTTGAAAAGTAAAAGTTGGTAGTGTTTGGTAAAATAAGTTTTTCCTTTTGTGTAATAGAAAAGGGAAAATCACTTTTCACATGAAAGCCGAGAAAAGTAAAAATTTGTAGTGTTCGGTAAATAATTATTTTTTTAAACCAAAACCTGAGAAGTGTTTTTTTTAAGCTGTTGCAAACCAACCCTTAGCATCTTCTTTTTTTTGGCAGAAGAAAATTTAACTCTCATTAATAGAATCAATGTTCAAAACATAAGTGAGAAAAACATAAGGAAACTCATTCCAAAAAATACAATCAGACATAGAACAAGATGCCTGAGCCAAGACATGAGCCGCCTTGTTCGCTGATCGTCTAACCTGAGAGAAAGAAATCTCCGTGAAGCAATAACATAATACTCTAATATCGCCCGCTATAATCTCGGCCAAAGAGATGCTTGAACCACCCTGAATCTCCGATATTGCCTTGG